CCCCCCCCCCCCCCCCCAGGTGATAAATAATGACCGGTCCCTTAATGCATTCAATACGCAGCGGAGCGTGAACTGGAAGATCATCTAGAAGCGCGGCAAATCAAACTGAAATTTATGACATGTTGTTTAAAGCTGTTATGTTTTTTAATTAAGTAGGTAAGGTTGATAAGCAACTTCATCAGCGACTTCATGGTCATTGGAGCTGATTTTTCCATTCTGTGGCAACTTTTGAGCAACTTTTCAGCCTTTGAACAGGCTCTCTGTTCACAGGCTAGCAACTTTTAGCCGGTTTTTTTTTAACTTTTCCAACAAACGGGCCCTTTTTACTTGCATTTAACCTGCATTTTCCCGAGAAGGTCTAAACAGGTTCTCACATAAATGTAATTAGCAAAAATTTAATCTATTTAGGCTCTTATTTTCTGAAGAAAAAAAATTGCAGCAAAGAGCATTTAGTATTCAGTTCAGTGAATTCCTAATATAAAATCTGCATATCATTGCATTGCGGTGGCAGTGATATGGCACCTAGGTCTCCTGAATGTTGACTTATTGTATTTGCGCAATTGCGCAGAAAGATAAAAGATAGTAGAAAATAAGAACCTGTTTCAAATATTAGGCCAAAACAGTTCTTGTATGCGAGGGGCCCTAAACGGCAAATTTTAGCCTAACAGGTTCTTAGTCCCGGTTCAGACGCCGATCTTTTCATGAGCCCAACATTGAATTAAGTACATGAAAAGTTCGGTGTCTGAATCAATTTGGATCGCCTCTTACGGCTTAGTAGGCATGGTTTGATCTCCGCGGTTTGTAATATGTAGCACATTTTAAGTGAATGCGATGTCTTTTAGCGGGCAACATGAAACTACCAATATCGTAACTCGTAAAGTGCATGTAATGAACTTTCTCCCATAAAGTTGATGTGTCCAGGTCTCTCCTAGGATCGAAAAAAACTCCAGCCTCTGTGGGTCGATTTTCGTAAGCGACAACCTCCCCGTAAGCCACGACTTGACCTTCGCTTTTTGGGTGGTCGTTTACGAGAGGTTTGCCAATATTTTGCCATTTATTTATTTATTTCATTTCGCTTCACGTGATGAATGCGAACCCTTCCAAGTACCTCAGTAACGTCAGATGTCTGAAGCGGAAAAAAGAGGAAAAGGGAAATTAAAAGGCTGATCACGTATACAAAACAGTCACTATCCTGCCAGCGGGGCATGATAATATCGGTCCCGCCTAATCAGAGACAAGCTATTGACGCTTTAAATGCGCCCAAGTTGGGTACAATTTTCAAGGGACCTTAGTTTGAAATAAATCAATCTCACAGGCTTTAAATGCCAAGCTTTGTAATAAATCACTTTTTCTTCGGGCATTTACATGGCAACGTCATCATCGAAAGGTCATGCCTTTTAGAGTATATCAGAGCAAGTTTTTGAAAAGAGGAGTTTATATCTAGAATGGCAGGTTCTCGTTCTAACTGACTACAGTAACTTGGCGTCTAGTTTCCTAAAAATGAACAAGCTTTTTCTCTCAAACTTAGGGAAACGATTCCTCTTTGACTGTTTGTATAGGTAATTCTACGCATGCCAAAGTTTTTGTTTTTTTCGTAGTCAATGTATGTTCACATTCAGCTGGTTAGGAAACCCTATTATTTCTTCCACTCTATCAATTAGGGTTGACATTCTTGTGAGGGAGATTATAGTAATTGTGTATTAACCTGTCTCATGCAGTCAGGGTCCAAATCCCGCTCACGAAACAACACACAAGTAATCACCAAAAACTTATTTATTTCACATAATCTCAACCGGTAAATAACCAGCGAAAGAACCATTATTGGTTTTACAGATCTGAGTTCTTCAGAAATTTAGTCAATAAGACGTACAAAATGATCTCTTGAAAACGTCAAAATAGTGTTCTTATAAAATTCTACTTTTCACTTCGACAAATGTTCGTAATTTAAAAGCATTTGCGGTGGACAATTGATGGACCAGATTCGTCATATTCTTGTTTGGAGATCCACATCTGTTGGAAGGTGGAGAGAGAGGCCAAGATCGATCCTCCAATCCATACAGAGTATTTACGCTCAGGGGGTGCAATGATCTTGATTTTCATGGTGGGTGGGGCCAGAGCAGTTATTTCCTTCTGCATTCTGTCGGCGATTCCTGGGAACATGGTGGAGCCACCAGACAACACTGTGTTGGCGTACAGATCCTTACGGATGTCCACATCGCACTTCATGATCGAGTTGTATGTTGTCTCGTGGATGCCTGCAGATTCCATTCCAAGGAAGGAAGGCTGGAACATGGCTTCTGGTGCACGGAATCTTTCGTTACCGATGGTGATGACCTGTCCATCAGGAAGCTCGTAGCTCTTCTCCAAACTGGAGCTTGATGCAGCAGTTTGCATTTCTTGTTCGAAGTCCAGAGCAACATAGCACAGCTTCTCTTTGATGTCACGCACGATTTCACGCTCTGCAGTGGTGGTGAAGGAGTAGCCAGCGAGCCAGTCTTAGAAGTACTCTATCAGCCAGTTCAGAGACGGCCGGTTCAGCTCTGCTTCCTATCGTACCCCTTCTCGCATTGGGAGCATCTACCCTTGACACACTGAGTGACCATCACCGCTGTCAAAGACGATGCCAGTTGTTCGACCAGAAGCGTACAGAGACAGCACTGCCTGGATTGCGACGTACATGGCTGGTGAATTGAAGGTCTCGAACATGATCTGTTGGAAAAAGAAAAAGTTCATTCGTTACAAGTGACTCGAGTAATTAGGAATTATTCCACTTTCTTCGCTGTACATTTTTAGTTTAGAAAACGAAAGAGCCCATATCAAGATTTTTAGCAAGACAAAAATAAAACAATATATTCAGTAATTGATCCAAGTTTAGCCTTTTCAGATGCAAATATTGACTGCAAAAGGTCAACAAACATAACAAAAGTTTGATAGTTTTAATAATGAGGTTTTTTCTTTTAATAACTTTTTTAAAAGAAAGGATCGACTGCAAATAACGTCAAGTTACAACTGTGCCAAGTAAAAGAGGCTGGGTTCCAGAATAATTGAAATTATTCACACAAAAGAACACGTGTTAAAATTTTATAAAATTGTAGACTTTGACTTCCTTTGATCTGAAATGCGGTGCGAAAGCTATTGACATAATTCACAAAGCATCAGTCAAACCTGCATATTAATTAGAAAAACTTGTTCGGACAACTCTGACCAATCACAGCGTTTCGTTACCAAATATGGGCATGAAACCAGTCAGATGTGATCGGGCACTAGCTTCCTGCTAAAAAAAAATTTCTTGGAGAAAACGATTTCTTAAACATCAATAAATTTACAATTTTCAGGGAGCCAATTTTCCATTTTAAACCGAACTCAGCATTTTCAACCGATGTGCGACTGGTTGTTTTTAAATGTTATGAGCTGTTGCAAGTCAACGCATTTCCACTTCAATAGACAAAATATATACAAATGCAAATTTGTTGTAAGTGCATCGAAATACAATATAGTTAGAAGGCGACCCCTTGAAGTCCAGCGTCGTTTCCAGAATTTAAGGGTGGAATTATTTGAAATTTTATCAATGGAAATTTTACTGCTGAGGTGGGGCTCCGCCGAGAAAATTCGACATTTTAAAGTTAAACGAACAACAAGGAACAACCTTAAACTTTACCTATTTTCAAGCTAAATTAAAACAGCAAAAGTTCAATCCACGATAAATCAGCTTTTTGACGAACGTTCATAGATAGATACAAAAATCGCCCTTTTTAACCGGCTATGTCGATAAGCTTATACCTAAGACTAAACTGGCAAGTTTTCGACTCCTTCATGTCTTACGATCGAATAGTAAACCCGGCCCAGGCGGCCCCTCCCTCTTGTCCAAAAACTCAGCAGGAGCTCGGAAAAGAAATGTCACTGTTCAAGAGTACGAACTAAAAACGTGTTTTTACCTGTGTCATTTTTTCTCTGTTGGCTTTTGGGTTGAGAGGAGCTTCTGTTAGCAGAACTGGGTGTTCCTCGGGAGCTACACGCAGCTCGTTATAGAAGGTGTGATGCCAGATCTAAAATAAGGAAAATTCATCGTGAGTCGACCGCTCAACTTGATATTTCCAACGTTGAAGAATATTTACCTTTTCCATGTCATCCCAGTTTGTTACAATGCCGTGTTCGATGGGATATTTGAGGGTCAGAATACCTCTCTTGCTCTGAGCTTCGTCGCCGACGTACGAGTCTTTCTGACCCATACCAACCATCACACCCTGATGCCTTGGACGGCCAACGATGGAAGGAAACACTGCACGAGGAGCATCGTCTCCGGCGAAACCGGCCTTGCACATACCTGAGCCATTATCCACAACCAAGGCAGCAACGTCTTCATCGGCCATCTTATCTGGTTTTTGTAGAAAATGAAATCTTAGCTTGACTCTCAAACTTAGCTTACCTCAACGAGATCAAAGTGCGTGTGGTTGAAATAGTGTATAAGACGTTTATATCTTCATGGCTCCCTCTCATTGGTTGGTTAAAAATTACACAAGAGAATTTTTAAATATTCATATATTCAACGTATTCATGTAAATTGCTCAGTAGTTGTGGTTTTCCTTTCTTTTCCCGAGCTTGTTGATTGGTTAAAACGTTTGGCAAATAATCCCACAGAGCTTTGACGGTATTGTGTCATCGAATAATATAGGCCCAAACAAATCACACTTTTACTGAGTTGTGTTTTAATACCTTGCTCAATTTACTGCCCCTTTATATCAACCAGCATTATGCAAGCTTCAACAATAAGCATTAAAAAAGCTGAATATTTTGACTTTCGAGTTCAAAATACGTTCGGCACTTATCGCATCCGTCTCGAGGGTATGACACAGATTAAAAATAATACTACAAAGTACAGTCAGTACTAATTACATTTTAGATTGTTAATGAGCAAAAACACACAATGCTGCACCTTTAGAAGCAGTAATACAATAACCGAGAAATGGATTACAATAACCCAGTCGGCAGAGAACAATGCGTATTACTGATCCAGACTTAGCCGTCACATTTGTCTTTTGGAATTTTTTATTGTTTTTAAGCTCAAGTGCTGCACGTTCTAAGTCTACCTTCATGAACCTCGTGGTTTTCACTACTAGGCGACCTTTCGAAATCAAAACCACTTGGAAATAGATCTCCGTCAATCAAACGCGGTTCAAACGTTTCGGTAGCCTGCAGAGGTCGAACAAGATCCTGCACGTTGCCACCGGGCAATAGAAACTCACAAAGCAGAACCAAAACTATTATGGAACTACTGGAGCAATCTTTGTTTGCCGGTAGTAATTTGCAATTTTTAGCCTAATTAGGGATCTTGACAATAGATGGTTTCTTAGACTTCGATTATTGTTAGTTAAGCCCAAAACCGACGAAGATGGCACAGTTTTCGAGGTAAAGCCAAGGTGCGGCCACAATCAAATAGCCATAATAATACATAAATCGTATGTACAAGAGAACAGGTTCTTTTTGCTTGTTCAACGAACCCTGCAGTTAGCATTTTCACTTGGCACTCTGGGGTGGCGGGTGTGGGCGGGGGGGAGGGGGGCGGGGTTTGGGGTGGATTACATAAAAGGCAGACTGGGATGCTCGTTTGGCAGGGAAGTGGGAAAATGTTTGGCATCAAATACGTATTGAGGACGCTGCAGGTATCGCCAGAGCCACAAGAGAACACGGCCTTTATTTTCTCTTGCTAAGAACTGTCTGTGAGGAAATAAAGAAGGTGTTTTTCGTTTGGCGTTTTTCTTCTTTTCGCCGTGAGGATCAGTTGGCTGATGTTTCTCTAATTCTTGAAGCTTTAAGCAACACCAAGATTGGTTTCAATAATGCCTTAACGATGCATGTATACCTCAGACGAGCAAAACTTGGCATTTACCTCGTTTGCTGGACACAGATGACGTAAAACAAAAGAACAACAAACATGAAACAATCCAAGCAGATTTTTCCCTAAACAGAAAAGAAAGAGGTCATTTGTTTAACGTCATCTGCGTCTGGTACACGAAGTTTTGACCCAAAATTTCACCACAAAACTTCATTTGTGAACAAAATTCCTTGCATGTACAGTTTGTGCCCTGGGAATCTATTCATGAAAACAAAACGTAACAAACTTAAATTTATAAAAGGAGTTTACTTGTACTGACGTGTTAAAACTGCACAGAGGCGAGTGCGCACTCGAGTGACTGATGCCTCGAAGCGAAAGGGATCATGGGAAGAAGAAAAATCGCTTTTTATTTCTCGCCTTCCTTTGCGCGCAAATTTTCATCAAGAGAGAGACGTCTCAGTACGAGGCATAATAAGGGGTATTCCAATTCCCTGATGATCAGTATCTCTAACTCTTTTACTTAGGAGTCATCCCTTCGGTCGCAAATTTTCTCCTCGATCTCCATAATTCTTCAGATCATATACTCAGGCTTTCAACAATTGCTTTTTGTCTAACCCTTCCTGGTTCCAAGTCGTAGCTCGCACTTATCAACGCAATTATGATCTACTTTTGCTCTCTGCAAATGAGACAGTCAAGAACAGTCAGTTGGAAAAGCTGAGCATTGTTCTTGGGAGTAGGGGCAATGTTTCTATTGTCCGTTCTATTTTTCTTTTACAAGCGTATGTAGCCCATCAGGAACCGGAATTCCTCTTTTTTTCCTTTTTCTGGCTTTTTCTTAAACCTTGTAACTTGAGACTTCCGAGAGAGTTTCGAAAATGTTGAAAGGAAAATTTGTTTAAGCCAATAAGACACATGTTTACAATTTCAATTTTATATAATTTAAAACAAAACTACGTATGTACACGATAGAATCGAAGTTAAGTTACTTGAAATTCGACGTTTTGCTTTAATTAAAGAAACAATGTCAGCTAAAAATTCTCCCACTATTTACATCCAAAGAAATTAAAATCTGCTATCGGATAGAAAACTACTTCAGTTAGTCGGCTCCCTCGCGTACAAATATTTCTCTTGTGTCATATATTACAGATCAATGAAACTCTAATATTACTACAGTATTAACAATTGCTATTCCATCAAAAAAAGGTCTACTTAGGAAAATTAAACGTTTTGCAGGAAAGAATGACACATTTCCCGCTTATCCTAATAAGAAGGATCGTCTGGGAGAGTATGCATAATTCCAATATAACGAGGTCCCTCTGTGGCAGGTGTCTGAGAAAAAAAATGTCCGGGGGTACCTAACTATGACAAAGAATGTCATTCTTTACCTTCATTTGTGGTGTTCGTTATACAGGGACCCTAGGGGGGGGGGGGGTACTCTGGATTTCAAGTGACGGAAATGATCGAATGGGGGGGAAAATAAAAAAACCCCAAAAAATCCTGGACCAAGAATTAACCCCCAAAAAAAATCCCATGCTGAATTTCCGAGCCTCAGAAAGTTTGGCTGTACTTTATTTGCAGAACAACGAAGCTGGGATACGCGGGCAATACCACGAATCTTCAGATTGTTCTAAAGACTCAAAAAATCCCCACTTAAATCAAGCAAACCTTCAAAAAAATCCCTCGAAAATCTCCGTCACCTGAAATGTGGAGTACTCTTCCTGGGAAAGGGAATCGTTATATT